ATTGAGCTCACAACCCAGGCATGTACCCTGACTGGGAATCAAAACTGGTGACCTCTTGGTGCATGGCATGATGCTCCAACAAAACTGAGCCACTAGGCCAGGGTATTTGCCAATCTCTTTTGATTGGAGAATTTAATCTATTTATACTTAAAGTAATTGTTAATAAGGAGGGACTTACTTCTGCCATTTTGTTATTTGTTTTCTATGTGCCTTATAGCTTTTTTTATTAGATGGATATACACAAAAGTGTTAGCACAGGGTGACAAAATTAACAAGGACTGTTGTTATTCCCACTTTGCAAATGAGAAAATTGAGGCACAGATTGGATAAGCAACTTCCCAAAGTAAGTGGGAGCTAGGATTTGAACCCAGATTAAGTCTGTTATAAATCTCCATGTTACATGACATTTTCCAAGTTCTCTTGGTAGAGCTCTCTCTTTTCACCAGCACAAAAGCTGAGAGTCATTGATAATGTAGTGTTAGGTTGATGTCAGCAGTGGAGAAATTAATCTAGAGATGGATTATTTACAAAAGTCATCACACAAATGTTGGAGGAAAATAGATATACAGATCCTCCCCCACCTCCACAATCACCCAGACTCCCATGAAATGTGCATGTCGGGGAAGAGGAAGCTCCTGCAACTACACAGTGCTCTGCTTCTGCCTATATTACCTGCAACAAAAAGCAAAAAACAAGTACTCCTTGAATAGGAATTCAGTGACCACCTGTACCCATCAGTTTATGGCCTGGGGCAGAACTCATGGATCTGCCACAACCAGAACCATGATTACAATCTGAGTCTTTTAAATCTATTCTGCTCATCGCCCACTCCCTGTGCAGAGGCTCTGTGGTTCCCAGAGGACAGGAAGAACTGTCAGTGAAACAATCACCAGCATTTCTGACTTGAACATCTTCAGAGGTAGGTGGATATCAGAGTCCCGGGGCTGTAAGTGTAAGCCTGCAAACACTCTTGTTTGTGGCTTGGTTGGATGAGTTCCTTTTTAAAAAATTAATCCTCACCTGAGGATATTATATTCATTGATTCCTAGAGAGAGTGGAAGGAAGGGAGGGGTGGGGGTGGGGGTAAGAAGGAGAAAGAGAGAGAGAGAGAGAGAGAGAGAGAGAGAGATGTGAGAGGGACACATCGATTGGCTGGCTCCTGCACAAGTCCTAGGCCTGGGATCGAACCTACAACCCAGGTACATGCTCTTGACTGAGAATCAGACCCAAGACCCTTAGGTCTGTTGGGTCAACCACTTAGACACACAGGCCAGGGAGGATGAGTTTCTTTTTCAAATCAAGTGCCCAGATCATGCCAACACTATTCCTCTATAGAAGAAATTATATGAGAAGGTATTTAGGGGTAAATTCTTAAAATAGGTGAATCTGAACAAATGGTATTCAGATGCTCTTTGTACTATTCTTACTCTTATAACTTTGAAAATATTTCCAAATTTTTTATAAAAAAGTTAAAGACAACCCATCTAAAGGTTCATGTGCCTCAAATCTTATTTTTTTCACACATGCCAAGAGGAGAAAAAGTTCAGTCTTTCTAAAGAGTTTTGCACCTTTTAAAATGTCTCCAGGTAATGTGCCTGTTTTTGAGCATTTGGGGAATTTCAACCAATGCATGTAGGTTATCTTCTGCTTGGTTGAAAATACCAAAGCAAAAATAAAGACTTGCGGGGGAGAAAACTGGTCACTTGCAGGGAAAGAGAATTACTCCATTGTGACTGTATTATTCATAGTACCCAGACTTCTTTGTCTTTGCTTCTTTTCTTCCTTTCTGTTTGGCTTAGTCATGTGAAGCACCAGGTTGGGAGTGAGAGAGGACTGGGGAAAGGAATTTTTTTATAATATGTTTTTATTAATTTTTTAGAGAGAGAGGATAAGGAGAGGAAGTGAGAGATAGAAAAATCGATGATGAGAGAGAATCATTGATCGGCTGCCTCCTGCATGCCCCCTACTGGGGACTGAGCCCAAAACCTGGGCATGTGCCCTGACTGGGAATGGAACCAATGACCTCTTTGTTCATGGGTTGATGCTCAGCTACGGAGCCACACCAGTCGGGCAAGGAAAGAAATAGTTTTGAACACTACTTAATCTCCTGCTTCAGAACCCCACCTCTTACCACCAGTGAGCTGCCTAAAATAATAGCCATCAGTTATTTTGCATATTGTTCCAAGTCCTAGACCCTCTCTTATTTTTTCTTCTTCACATTGATCTCCATTTATTATTGTGTATTTCTTTGATGTATCTTGTTTATAAGCTCTATGAAGGGGGGTATTTTCTTGCCTTTGTTCATTACCGTATTCTCTTAGTACTTAGAATAGTAGTAACTTAGTAGAAGTATTTGTGAGACAAATAAATTTAGGACAAATGTAAAAAGGATAGAATCCCACTCGCTCAGCAGACTTAATTCCAAATAAGTTAAACAGTTTTTTAAAATGACCACAATGAAGTCAATGAAATGAAATAACTTTCACTCATGTAGAAAAGAGTCTAAGTTTGATAATAATAATAGCCAACATTTATTTTGCCTATTCTGTGTGCCAAGTCATATGTACTGTGCTTCATATATTCAATTTTTGCAATGTGAATACTAATGTCACCCCTATATTACAAATGGAGAAAACTGAGGTTCTGAGAAGTTAAGTGTTTGGCCAATCGTAACTTATATTAAACTAAATGTGTTGGGGTTGGGTTTCAAGCTCAGGTCTCTCCAACTCCAGTGAGATAAGATGTGTATCCTAATGGTAGAATAAACCGATTTCAATGGAGAAAAAACTGGTAATAATTATCTAGGGTTCAAGATAGGCAGTATCATTTTCCCAGGACTTCCAGATTGACAAATTTGCATTTAACCAAATTTTATTGGCAAGAAAGTTCCCAATGACATTAATTCTTCCCCCTAGGAAAGAGAAATTACAAATTGTTAGGTGTCTTATGATTAATGGGAAAATATAAATGATATGTTGTGAGAATATTTGTGGGAGACTTGTTCTTTGTCTCAAATTTATTCAGAAGAGCTACTTCTTTCCCTGCCTCTGTAGGAGAGCTTGGGTATAGAAGTTGACTTTTCTAGACACTGCCTAAATTTACAGCATATATAAAAGCCTAAGTCCATGCAATAGTCAAGATACTCAGCTTGAATTAAAATTGTGGGCTTCCTCCACATCTAGAAATCTGCAATTTGGGGAAGAGAGTGATCAGTTTCCTCTCTCTCTCTCTTCTGCAGTTGGCTATGTGCCATTTTGAAGATGGAGGAGGGAGAAGAGGTAAGGGAATCTAGACAGTTCTTTCTGGCAGGTAGTATTGCACCTTCGTGTTTGTGCTTTCTGGGCTTAGTACTGCTTAAAATGGACTCTGTCACAGATGTTTTTCTGGGTTCTTTAAGTCTCTCCACACACCAACTGATAGAAGTTTCTCAGCTGTGGTTCTCTTGATATGGCTAAACCCAGCTCCTTTCTGGCTGGCATTTACTTTCTACTTCCTTCTGCTGGGGTCATATGGCCCTCCCGGCAGCCTGCCTGGGATAATCTGGCACAAAGCCACACTGGCTCTTTCTTGCATTTGCCCTGTCAAATTAGTGCAAGTAGTGCAAGCTGTAGCCTCTTTCTTATAGCCATAGGTCATTTCGGCCAGCGTCTTAGGCCTTTGTGTTCTCAGGTGTGACTTAGACACCTGTACACTCTGTCTCCACAAACTCTTGGGGCCATAGAAAATTCAGTGGGAGGTATCGTTCAAGCCTTTCTGGTGACTTGAAATGAAGAGAGCACAATGTTCTTTAAAGAAAATCTTCTCAGAGATCTCCTCCAAAAAATATGTCAAATTCCTGACAATTTTCCACCTTTAAAACAAGTAAAGGTTTGACGAGTCCCTTAACCTCTTTTGGACCATCTTTCTCTCTCTTTTCAAAAGGCCTACAAGTTGATTTGTCTCACAGGTCTTGGCCAAAACTTTCATTTTAAGCCATGTTACAAATTTTTAAGCAAAAGTCAAGATACATAATAGCAAGCCTGATATGAACTCAGTTTTACAAAAACAATTCATATTCATATATATGCACATAGACAGAATAACATATGCCAATATAGGGGGATTACTGGAAATATCTCATTATCTCTTTGTACTTTTTAGTGTTTTAAGACTTTTGTATGCTAAATTTGAATGATCTTTAAAGGAAAGGCAACACATTTGTAAATTTATTTTTTCTGCACAGGAAGGCACAGAGTGTGAGATGACCTTTTAGCAGTGCTTAGCTCACATGTGTACCTGTTGTCGGATGGGTAGAGGGCAAGGGGGAATAATTAGAAGACAAAGTGTAAAGAAATTCGATAAGCACTTCCTCTTGCTTTACAAATCTATTTATATCTCCTCATCTCTAGCAACAACTGATAAGGAAAAAAATTCCTGACAATATATATTCAGACAAGTATGGTCAGCATCATGAAGTTCTGGACACCTCTACTCATGACATTCCTGTATATGGTGCTACTGTCTGTGCTGGGCGAAATTAAGGAAAGATCAGACTTTAAAACAAGTAAAGGTTTTTAAGAGGCCCTTCCAGGGACTGGGGTGATGAGGCTGGGTTGGAAACAAAGGGTGGGGGATTGTTGCGCTTGTTTCTGGACAAGTGAAGGGGTATTTTTGTGTTTGATTCAAGTCCTATCTTCCCTGGGTCATGTATTGGAGAACCACAATGTTTTTATGCACAGAGATCTAAGAAATTCCCAAGTTGAGGTCCTTTAATATTTCCTCTTCCAACCTTGAAAGTATCAATGAGTATCTGTCCACCTTTATACATATTCCATAGGTCAGAGGATATACTATTTCCCCTGTCGGGCTAACTTTGAGGAGGGAGCACCAATACAGAGTTGCTATATCTTCCCATACTTTCAGAAGCTCTGTGTCCTAGCTGTGTGTACTTGGATGAGCAGTACCAAATGGGTATTTCTTAGTATACCCTTTGTTTTAGTGATAGGATCTTTCAGAATGTGAAAAAAAAATAGAAAAGAGACATGAAATGAGTCCTTAGTGGGGCAAAGTTGGAGGTCATATCATAGGAAAGAGGAATCAATGGAGGGGACCAAAAAATTGAGTGAGAGAAAAGTATCTGAAGAGAGGCTGAATTATTAAAGTCAGAGGGCCAGCAAGGAGGGGACGAAAAAAGGAGAGAATCTGCTCTTTACTCTCCCTGGTCTAGCTTCTCACATTGTGAAATAGGCATGGTAGTGAGGCTAGAGGCTCTCTCAGGCCATGAGATCTCCTGTTATGTAAGTGTAGATTTTATAGGAGAGCACACACAGGCTGAAAGTACACTGAGTCCTGCCTCTAGGATGCCCAGACATCTTCAACACAGGACCTGTGGGAGCAAAGAAGGCAAACATATAAGTGAAGAGGCAGTGAGGAGGGTCAGGCAGGAGATGTTTTTGTAAGGCAGATACCGTAGATACCTTGCTAGGGACTTGGGCTTGGATTCTCATAAGGGTTGTTAAGCTTCTGAAGGGCTTCTCTTCCCATGCTTGCTAACTCTTACAGTTTCATCTCAATTTTAGGGGAGAGAACATTAATTGAGGAGTGCTGGGGAGAGCCAAACATCGATGACTGTAACAAGAAGTGTTCTAAAACCTTTATATGTGTAAGGGTAAATTACACGTGCTGCTGGACCTATTGTGGCAACATCTGTTGGAGAGTGAGTTGGGAGATGTGTCTTCAATGATACTCACACTCTTCTTGATGCTGTTATTCCTAAAGAGAGCACTGATGTACCCCAAATCCCAGGCACAAAAGTAGCAGAAGAAAATATCTCCTAAACCTGGAAAACAATTCACTAGTAAATAAGCCAAGACATCAGGTTGGGGCACAATGCTTCTTTCATTATATAATCAATGCCTGTGCTCTCAGTATATTATGCAACAGTTTGCTTTTTTCCTAATTTTCATCCAGAATATTTTGTTGTTGTTGTTGTTGTTAATCCTCACCTGAGGATATTTTTCCATTGATTTTTGGGGAGAGTGGAAGAGAGAGGGAAAGACAACGAAAAACATCAATGTGAGAGAAATACATCGATTGGTTGCCTCCTGCATGAGCCCTGACCAGGGCCCAGGCTGGGAGAAGTCTGCAACCAAAGTACATACCCTTGACCAGAATCGAACCCGGGACCCTTTGGTCCACAGGCCAATGCTCTAGCCACTGAGCCAAACCAGCTAGGGCTCATCCAGATTTCTAACCATTGCCTCCATAATCAGGCCTTTTAATGAGCCCTTTGTCTCAGCCAGGCCTCACATTTCTACCCTTCTCTGTTCAATCAACTAATACCACACTTCCTACCCATTCTGGAGTGCACAATTCCTATTGTTACATAAAGTATATCTGTCCCATGTTCTGGCAGATGGGTAATATTAAGCTTGGGAATAAATGCTTATTTCTCAGAGCTTCATAGCCTCTTAACATCTACCCTTTCTCTCTTGCAGAAAATCTATGAAAGATAGCTAAAACCATAAACTCAAACCTGGGACACCAGTCAGTTCTCACCGAGGGCTGCACAGGAGCAAATCCTTGACAAATAAACTCATTTACCAGCAA